TGAATCAAATCTTCTCAGCATATCAGACAGGAATAGTTTGAATCCTGCTAGTATTCTGCCTTTTCGTAGCAACTCTTGTTATGCTTTTTAAATATAAAGATAAATTTATAACGATTATAAAGTTTTTACTGGTGGCTCTGTTAAATTTTGTGTATTATATGATTTAAACTTCACATATTGGTATATAAGTGACAATTAAACTTTAAATATCCAGATATTTGATATGAGTGACAAAAAGAAAAAACCTGTAAACCATTTCACTCATTATCATTGCAATGATACAGTATCTACTCTTATAAGAATTAGATGAACATATCACTGCGATGATAATGAGTGAAATGATTTACAGGTTTTCCCTTTTCATCACTCATATATAAATTGATTTTGTTGCATATCGTATGATAGTAAAAAAAATGTCTTCTCAGAAATAATCTACCTCACCAATACTTTCACAAGACGATGATAATGTTCCTTGCACACTGCAAGAAAGCTCCATTATTAGTTTCTCTTCCATTAATGAAATTAGCAATGAATCAAATAATGAACTTTAATGATGAAGCTAATTATAATAGCTCTCGGGCCGCAGGATCTTTCAAGCAAACCCAAAAAAAAAGATGAACTACCAACAAAGCAACACTATCGACCTCCTCTACTCCAATAAAAAATCCAAGAGCCAATGCTAGCTATATCATGTTTTTTTTGAAGACGATGAAACAAATACTCAAATTCAATACTGTAAAATTTGTATTAAGCAATTAGAAGGAACTCGTAATAAACCATATCCATATACTAAGTCAGGTGGTAGCACTGGGCATTTGACATATTATCTCTGTGAAAAGCACAATATCACTGTAAATAATTATAAAGAATATCTTGATTCCCATCAAGAAGTAAGTATATAAGAATGTTATAAGTTGTTATAAACTGCTAAATAGCATATCCAATGTATCTGGCATATCTTTTTACTTTGACAATATTCAATCAAGGTCTTTTTTTATTCATAGGGTGATATTGCTATTAGTAATATGTTATATACAGTATTATATATACTGTATATATGCTAAAATTTTTACCGATCACTTTTGCTAGCCAATTAGGTGCCAAAAAAAAACTATATGTCAGTACGGGCTTTCGATATACTAATTATATAATCAAATATACGTAGGGATGTTAAAAGCTCAGTTTGATTCGACTCAACTCTAAAAGTTGAGTCTTTATAAAGTTTGGTTCTGAGTCAAACTTGGAACTTTGACTTGCATTTCATGTACTGAAAAAAATGTGTATTCATGCATTCTTTGCATGCATATATATTCCTTTTAACGCTATATTTAAATATACAAGTTGTACGTGAAATGCGAGTCAAGATCCAAGTCTAACTTGGAACCAAACTTTAATTAAGACTCAACTTTTGCAGTCGAACCAAACTGAACTTTTAACATCCCTAAATATATGTAAGATATTGTAATAATAACTAGTAGTACAGATTTGTGTATAGATCAGCAAGCCCATTAAATTTACTTGTGAAGACTAATGATCAAAATATTGATTAATCCCACATACCAACTATTTTTTTCTAGCAATTTATACATCAAATGATTACTTTTACATAATTAAACAAAGTTACAGTTTAAAATTTTGCTTTATTATATTTTTAAATTTTTTTACAAAGCCAATTCATTTTAGTTAGAACAATACTACAAAAAATTCTTGCTAATTTAATTAAAATTTTAAACTGTAATTATATTAAAGTAATTATTTAATGTATAAATTGCTAGAAAAAAATAGTTGGTATGTGGAATTAACCAATTTTTGATCACTAGTCTTCACTAGTAAATTTAACGATTTTACTGATTTATATACAAATCTGCAATACGTACTAGTTTTATTATAATTGATTAATTAATACATCGGAAACCCCAGTACTATACGCTAAAATTTTTCAGATATCAAACGTATAAATGGCATATTACTAATTGCCATGCATAAGAGACATTTTAGCTTTCAAAGAGCTTGATACAATTATAGCAAGTGCTCTATTAAAACAATGCCAGGCACAGGCGTGGGTTAATAGTCACTTGCAGAGCCCTAATACAGTAAAACCTCTCTAAGTACACCATCTATAAGTGCACCTCTCTAAATATATACGCAGATTCTGGCCCAAACATATACATGACTTCTATAAATGCACTTTTTCTTATTGTTTTCTAAGTGCACGTCATTAAATTCTGGTTCCGAGTATATGCACTTAAAGAGGATTCACTGTAATAATAGTTGTCTCTATAATTCAGCAGTTTATAGTATCTAAATAATTTTATAAATTTTTTAAAATATTATTTTTAAAGCCAATAGTACAAGTTAATCGTATCACAAATTATACAATCAATTTGTTTTCTCTTTCTCCAAAACAACAAGACAAACTTACTAAAGTTATCATAGAATTTATTGTAAACGATATTCAACCTTTGCATATCTTGCAGAATTTGTCTTTTGTTGAATACTCTTAGAATTTCAGCCACAACATCAAATACTATGCGCAAACATGGTTAAAAAATATATTTCAAAGGGCTATCATAAAGGAATAAATCAGCTTAAAGAAATATTAGTCAACACTGCTGATATTGTCCACTTAACAACAGATTTATAGACTGCCAAGAGTAAACATAGATACCTTGGTATTACCACAACATGGCTTACGCCTGATTTTGAATTTAGAAAAGCTTTACTTTTATGTCATCATATGCCTTACCTGCATAATGGTATTAATATTAGTGAGGAACTTTCTAATATTATTAATGAATGGGACTTTAAAAGTAAAGTGTGTATAATTGTCATGGACAACAGATCTAACATGGTGAAAGGAATTGAGTTGTTGAAAGGTAATTGTATCAAAAGTGTTTTTCGGCAGCCTTGTGCTGCTCACACGCTTTAGCTCTCTGTAAAAGAGAGATTAAAGCAGATTAAGTCTGTTTACCAATGTTTCAAAAGTATTCAAGCATTTTTTCGTCTCCCAAAACAAGCGCAACGGTTACAAGAAGCACAAATGCATATTAGCTCAAAAAACTGACAAAAATAAAATGATTAGCCCTCTTGAAATATTATCTGATTCTAGAACGTGCTGGAACTCGGCCTATCTGGCCTGGAAAAGAATATTAAATTTACATCTAGTAATGCGTACACTAGCTACGTCATTACAAATTAGTTCTAATACAGTATCAAAAAAGAAGAGCGAAAACTTGACTACTTATGTCTAACCTTCTGAGAAAAAAAGTAAGTTAATTATTTTTACTATCTAGGTATGAAATAATTTTTGAGTTATTTCGTACCCATACTATAACAATTCAAGTTTATTTAACAATAAAAATATAATTAGAGATTGTACATACTCTTGCTATTATATGGCTATACATGGGGTTTTCGAGGTATTGTAGTAATGCAGATTTTATGCATAGATCGACAAAATTGTTAAATTTACTAGTGAAGACTAGTGTTAAAAAAATTGCTTCATCTTATGTATCAACTATTTTTTTCAAGCAATTTATATAGTTTAATATAATTAACTAATTGTTTGATATATAAATTACTTGGAAAAAAATAGTTGATACATGAGATGAAGCAATTTTTTAAACACTAGTCTTAGCTAGTAAATTTAATGATTTTACATAAAATCTGCATTACTAGTTTTTATTACAATACCTCATATAGATTTGTTAATTAGTATTGGTATATTAAAAACCCTAGTGGATAACCCAAATAATTTAATAATACTTGGGATATATAGTTATTTATCCAGATAACCTGGATAATATATAGCTATATAGTATTTATTTAGATAACCCACCAGAGCACAAAATTCTATTGTAAAATGCCAGAAATTCTGTTTAATTATGATGATTTCTGGCATAGTCTTAAAGTAGCTAAAAATTTTATACTGTAAATATAGGGAATATGTGTATTTATCTTCGCTGTCGAATTCATTAATAAGGCTTAAAAAGCCGCTTGTTTTTGCATAACTACTTACCACCAAAGCACCAGGTATTTCCACACCTGACTTTGATATTTTTACACCCTTGATCATAAGCATAATACATAAAGTGTGTTGTGTTATAGTTGCAGCAAAAATAAAATACTATATTATATTATTCAATTTTTAAGCCAGAATATTTGGATCACACAACATCACAATATCTTTATAATTTCATAACAATAATTTACAATTTACAAGGGTGTGGAAATATCTGTTCCCTAAATATATTGTATTATTTTTACAAGAGTTTTTATATTTTGTTTACTGAAAAAAAAGCAGGCTACAACATACTGAAATTTTGTGCTCTATAACCCACCTTAGATAATTTAATAATACAAATGATATAATGGTAGCAAAAAATTCATGACTATGCTATCACTGATCTTTCTGAACCCATTGAAAGACATAAAATATCAGATATTTTAAATTTATATTAATGCTAGTAATCAGTATTGAATCAATATAAATTTAAATATCTGATATTTTATGTCTTCTGATGGGTTTGGATAGCTAGTGTAATCATAAATTTTTTGCCACTATTATGTCACCTTAATAATACCCAGATAAAAATTATAAAAATTCATAATATAATCTCTAGTTATAATAATATATCATATTTTCGTGGAATAACGTGTAGAGCATTATTCCATGATAATATAGTAAAATAAAAAAATAATTTAGTTTCTTTTTTTATTTAATAGCATCTACTGTATGCAAATTTTTATTAATATAATTTTTTTTTTTAAGATTTATAACTGACATCGTTGATCTTTTAAAACCTTTTGAGGAAATAACAAGATTCTTTTGTGGCACAAAATATCCTACTGTAAATCTAATTTATCCTTATATTTGTACACTAAGAAATAAGTATGCACCAGTAGCTGAAAATGGGAATCTATTGAAGATTGGATAACTCTTATTTATGGATCCTCATTAGAAAGTTCTGGCATCTTTGATAATACAGGCACTAGTAGCAATGACGAAGCAAGCATACCATCGGCTGGAAATAGAAAACAGTGGCAATATGCTCATCATAATATACATGGTCGAGGTCAAGGTCGAGGTTGAGGTAGCAGACGCAGTAGCAAATTTAAAAAAACATAGTAAAAATAGTGCCGAATTAGCTGACAATGATTCTAATACAGTGAAATATTTTTCTCCTACAAACTGTGATGGTCTTTTAAAAAAAATGTGTGCTGCAATTTACTTATCTCTTGATGAATTGTGGTTTATTCCTAACGAAGTAGAATTAAAGGCTTTTATGTTAGATCCACAATTGAAATTACTTCTATTCGCTACTGCTAATAAACAGAAAAATACTGAGGAACAAATTCGTGAAGAACTATCAATATTAAAAGCTCAATTTAGCCAAAACAACACTATTATTGAAATATCCACTATCAAAAAAGAAGAATGTGATTCATTAAGCGCCGAATTATAGAACTCGTTTACAATACCTACTTCACATGCTGTTACTGAAGATAAGCTAACAAAATATTTGAATAATCAAATTGCTCCTAAAAGCAAAGATCCTTTATTATAGTGGAAAGAGAGATGTGCAAATTATCCGTTGCTTTGCAAACTTGTTTGCAAATATTTATCTATTCCCATGACTTTTGTCCCTTCTGAGTGTTTATTCTCTAATGCTAGTGCTCATATTACAGCAAGAAGAACCTGCCTTGCACCAAGCTTAGTAAATAAAATGCTTTTCTTAAAGCAAAATTTCTCATTTTTAGAGAAAAAATAAATTTTAGTTTTTTTTTTTTTACCTTTTAATATATTTATATATGCGTATATTTTTTTGTATATATTTATATATGTATATGTATATGTATATATGTTATTATTTTTGTTTATATTTTTCTTGCTATACATATACTGTATACATATATATTTATATATATATGTATTATTTGTTTTTTTTTTTAGTTTTTTCTGTTAGATCTTTTTGTAGATCTTTTTGTTCAATTGACATTTTTTTTGTAGGAAAAATAATATATATTTTTTTCAATATACATCAATCGCCTGATATATTATAAAGGATTCAATAAATATTGATTACAGGCTATTGAGTTAAAATGCATCCAACAATTATATTGCAGGAGTGCAGTTATAATTCACAAATACAATACAAAAAGCATAATTCCAGAGTTTATATTTTGGTAATTAAGGTTGCTTTTACAAGCATCAGTTTTTTTTTTTTTTTTTTTTACTCACTATATAAAAATTGGATGCAATATTACTGCTATTTTCAGAATTTCTGGAAAATCTGATAAAAAATTGGCCGAATGATTTTTCGGACAATTTGATTTAGTTTGATTTCGGCATTATTTAAAAGGTGGAGATGGAAGTGGGATTTAAGCCATTGTACCAGATGTAAAAAGTTAGTAGTCTCTTAATGAGGATAAAGCAGAACCTGCTACTGAAATTAACCTTATATTTAAGAAGTTGACTAATGGAATAGACAGTATTATCTGTGAAGAGATTGTCTCATCCATCAGTTAGTAAACTAAAACAACACTTTAAAATTCTTTATCGAAGGTTACAAATTGGACCAGGAGAACTATATTTAGAACACAATAGCTATCTAATTTATCCAAATATATCTAGATATATTGAAGATAGAAATTCAGTCTTCCAGGACAACCTAGTCCAACACACAAGCCAGACGACCTATCGATAGAGGTGTATTATATTTTGAGAGTAAGTCAAGACTTCAGTCGTCAACACTCAGAGATAACTCTTTATTAACAATTAATCATAGTTATTCTCAGTACGTCAGGACACTGAACACAATAACCACGGCTAGGACCTTCCACTTGGATCTTAAACCGAAACAATAATCTCAACCAGAAAAACAATCACAGGCAAAGCTATATGAGTAAGAAAATTAACGAGCAAAGATTTTTCACTATGCTACTTAAGGTAAAAAGTATTTAATATAATGGGTTTATTGGAATATTTAAAGAGTTATACTGTATGGGTCATAGGTATTCTTTATTTGGCATGATAATTGTAAGCAGTACAAACCTTATTTTTAGGGATGTTATTCTGTTCCAACCGGTTGGTTCGTGCTAGCAAACCCGCTAAACACTGTTTCAAAGCACACACAATAAAGGATCTTTGCTTTTAGGAGCAATTTGATTATTCAAATA